TAAAAATACCGATTCTTATCGACATTGTTGAATATCGATATCTGTTGACAATGATAAATATCGATAATAATAAACGATAAGTTGATGACTTATGTATCAAATTGCAAATTTTACTCTTTGTTTTTGAACAATTTTGGTGTATTTAATTACGTTTTTAGTGATGTATTTACACATACCTCCATTAGTGCAACCTGTTTACACGTTATCAGCTATGTAACTGAGGACTAAACGCAAGTTTGTGACTATCGAGAGTTGCAACATTTCCTCTAGAATTTTTAACACTAGTACAATCTGACATCTGGAGACAATTGTTATGTTGAAAGTAGAGTTGAGATGAAAATCAGAAGGGTTCTATCTGACATATAGGCAATCTTAAAGTGGAAGAATTCGAAATGTTACCATCTATTACAGATAGAATCAAATTTTCTTGCCAAAAACTTGCCTCTAGGCCTTTACTGTTCATAAAATGACAAAACTCTGTGTATAGAACCTCCTTTGGTTCTCACCTCATAATTTGAATAACAGTAAAAAATGATGTAGGTCGTTAATTAAAGTCGGTATTTTACCAGTTTCGGTATATAAAATCTAAAATATCGATATCGATATTGTAAAAACTTTTCGGTTTAGGTTTGTTATATCGGCACAATACTATTCAAAGAGAATCAATGCAAAATTTATTAAAACTATGAAATATATTGTAAAACTAAGGGAGTAAAAATAGTTGTAATTATAGTTTGCTTATCGGTACACGCAAGGTAATAACAAAATAGTAAATATAAACTTTCTGCCTTTCCTTTTCTTGTTTTCTTTGCTAATGATGTAATCGTCAATAACCTGTGTAATTCTAATAAGAGCAGACAACTGTGCTGTTGGCATTTTATAAAAATACTACATAGTCTCTCTGTTGGCATTAGCTCAGTGACTGTGTAAATTTCAAAGCCTCTCTTAGAATATATTCGATTATCGGTATATCGAAATAATATCATTGTCAAGTCTAATAACGATATTGAAGTCAAAAGTTTGGTTTGGCACAGATCCAGAACCCAAAGGGAGGAGACAACTCAAAAATTAATTAAAAACATTTGTATAATTATAAGTTCCTTTCATTAACACGTGTAAGACATGCGGATGGTCTTATAAACCATATTTGTCATAAATGTTTTTTAAAAAAGCCTTAAATTAATTAAGCCTATGTAACTCACCCATGGATCCGTTCTTCGTTTAGTACAGCCCTACTAACTTTACAACACGATAAGCACGAGGACATTTGAATAGCTTATGTGCTATAAAAGTATAGCCTATAATCAAAACCAATTCATATAGCAATGTTAATATGAAATTTTCGAACAATGCATTTCTAATGGAGAAGATTCTGATAAATAGTTATATTAAGCACAGTTTTATGATTACGAAACTATTTCAATATGCCAGTCTATTCAATTATAGTACAGTGGACTAAGTATATAAGCACATATCAGTCAGACTGATATGCTGAGGATAATTTCGAAAAATGTTTCTAAACCGTCAGTTATTAGGTTTGCGGTTTACGAAAATTATAATCCAAGGACATATTTTGATGAAATTTTGGTAAGAACTTTTTGAAAATATATGTTTTAAATAAATAGACATTTTTATTACTGATGAACTTCTGGTTATTAGTGAGACTTAAGTAAATATTGGTACAGCAGGCACGGATATGCGTAACTTACATTTACAAAAATGTATTCTGTATTTTAATTTAATTTCAATTATTTTATTTGGTATGTTTCGATGATAAAATTAATTACGTCTACAAAATAAAAATTACATTTGACTTTTATAAAAAATTTTTTTTTAAAATTTCATTTTTACCTGTTCCAAATAGAAACGATAGAAAATCTATTCGTCTACAACATATTTTAGATTAAAAAGCTACTAATTAGGGAGATGATTTGGGATACTATAAAGTCACTCCTTACTTAACGGCCGCTTGGACTTACGAGCAGCTCTTCAGCTCAAGGCTGGGGGAGCTGGTCGTAAGCCCTGTCTTTGTCTTGTTCCCGCAGTCAGTCAGTATTCACCACACAAAGCATTCGCAATCTCCAAGACTATGTATTTCGTTTATAAATTTATGCTATATTGTGCACCCCGTAACTCCAAACACACTGTAAATCAAGTATATGCGTTCTAAGTTCAAGCCAATATTTCACAGGAAAATTAGGAATAAATAGTCTACAAATGTAATTTGTATGTATTATCATTTCAAAATTAAAAACCAAAACAGAAAATACGAATTCTGAATGAAAAATGGAAGGCTATAAGAATACCAACAACGAAGTTACCATTGAAAGGTATTAATATCCATTCTTTGACGGCCCGAATACAAATTTTCGACTGTATTTTATTTACGTTTCGAATTTCTGAAGGATGGACAGAGTTGGCTGAAAATACAGAGATAAATAGGCCGGAAGTATGCTTTATCTAATTGCATAATATAACTAATAAAGGAAAATAAAGTTTTTAAAATTACTGTTTTCTAGTTTCAATAACTTTCGTCGTTCTGCTTGGATTATACAAAGGTTTATTTTTATACAACAATCGAAATCAATTGAAATGTTAAAGAACGAGGAAAACTACAAGACGGTAAATTTATCAGCGATATCTGCATTTACAATTTTGGATATGATTTAACATTAAATATATTCTGTAGTAAAATATTCTACACTTATCTGATCATCCAATGGACATACAGGTGGAAATTGAGTATATTTCCTGTTTAAACAATCAAATCAATGTGGGTGTCAGATAAGTTACACCTGTTTTATTTGACAATCATTCAAACATAAAATTAAAAAAGTTATTTCTCATACATAATACTATATGGAGAAAACATCTTGATGATGCAGTCAATTGTGAAGCACAGATATCCGGTTTCTCAATAATTAAATGATGAAATGTAATGTAAAAAAATCCATAAAAGAAGTGGAAAATTATTATCATTTCTTCCGTTTAACACCCTTTCAAGTGTACAAAGTAAAAAAAAAAAGTATTATTATAATATAAAATTAATTTACAATCATCAATTTGGCATTAAAAAAGGCGATATTTGGCATATCTGGACAAGAAATTATAATTAAAACTAAAGAAAATTTTGTTGGAAATATTAATAAAATTATTATTACTAATTAGTAAAACGTACGTTAAAATAATCTCTACCTACATAAGCATTGATCAATACCGTATAACTATAGATAAATAAAACCGGATAAAATATATTTAACATTTTAATCGAAATTTCCTTCTTCCATATTTAGAAAGATTTTTATAAAGATGAAATATATTTTAAATTTTCATTCGGATATAATCGTGCGTTTTCTAATTTTAGTATTCACATTATAAACATTTATCAAACTGTAGATATTTTGATAAATTCCTTAACATATATTTTCGTTTTAGATATTTAAAATGGATATTTTGTTACGAAAGATGGCGGCAGAGATAAATAACGCAACAGAGTTTTGTTCCGTTTATTATATTAATTTCCGCATTAAAAAGCCAGCTTTATTCACTATTGGAATTATGATAATCGTGGATAAAATAAAATATAATAAAACAATTACTTCAAGATTTTATATGAAGTTATAGCTTAAAAATCGATAAATTCGATTCTTATCACAATCTCAGCAACTTCATTCTAAATGTATAAAGTCTAGCCTGGCATCTATGTTAATGTAGTAACCTGCAAATATATACATATACATACCTATATATACAGGCAAAACAACGATAAAGCGAGAATTTAATCTGTAATATCAATACCGGAATGTATAAGTATAGAACTGCTGTCAAACGAGGAAAAATGTATTTTTTTTTTTAACGGAAAAAAATGGAAACAAGTAAATGATTCTTTTCATCCTTCAAAAAACCACATTCACTTTCAAAATGCAGCTTGAGGGTCGTCCATTGACCCAAGATGGAGATCGCTCCAAGTAGGTCACGCACCTTATCTTCGAAAGCTCTCGTTTGCCAAACTTTCTATACATTATACGACGTCATTAACATAGTCACAATGATAAAAAAAATATTTAAAATATACTTAAATATCTTTTTATATCGATTGGTATCTCCTCAAATTATTATATTTTTTTTTTTGTAAATCCGCTTAAATTAGTTACTATCAGAAATGTTCGAGCATTTCTGATTTTAAATTGTATTTTAATTCTGTCTCAACCAGTTTTCATTCGTTAAATATGTATTTATACACATGTATCGAGTAGAATGTAAATAAATTTCGTTTAAAGTACATTCTAAAAATATATAATAAAACTAGACTAAATAATTTTCGTATTTTATAAAAATTTTTATTTATTTTATATAAATATTAAAATTATAATTATAAAAATATATTCGAACACAAAAAATTTGGGTTGTAAAAAGGCCCTTTTCAAGCCCATTGTGGGTTCGGTCAACCACAATAGAGCACCCAGTATTGAAGGATGAGGTACGACATATCCTGGACAGATCATTACCAAAAATTCGTGGGCTTTTTCGACTGCTCGGATTCGATTCCGGGTTCCCCAGAGTGTTAGGTTAACGCATGACTAGCCTCTGCAATTTCCATTATTTTAATAAAATAGATAATAGTTTACAGCATTTCTTCTTATATTATGAAATAATTTTATTATGCTACAGATAGGCGTATTTTTTTACATTATCTTTATCTGAATAAGTATTTTACTAGTTATTTATTAAAATCGCAGTCAATATTATCTGCAATCCGAGTTAATTATCAACAAGGTTAAACTTATTACGTAACACGAAGGTCTTTAACACGAATACAAGATATATTTAAATTTTTAAATAGATTTTAATATAATCGAGTAGCTTTAATTTTATAAAATAAAGTTTAAAACATATTTTACGTTAATTAAAATTATCAGTAAAAAGGCGGAGTAAACGAGTCATGGCGTCAACAGCGTGCAGAAAGTTGATTGGTTCCGTTATCAAAACTTGTACGATGGTGACGAAAGTTGGCAGACTGATCTCAACTGTTGGCATCGGAAGATGTTTTCACTCTCGTCTCTATTCATTTTGTTAATCAATTTGACTTTTCTGTGGTGCTACGTTGTAGAGGATACAACGAGTGCTGTTGATAATTGGCAATTACAACGACCTGTAATTACTTTCGATCCATCGGATAAACTCTCCATCGTCGAGGGAGAGCGTGCTAAAGTTACATTTGTGATCAAGGAAAGTAACATTACGTCTACATCTTCGTCCGAATTAATGGAAAAAGTGGTACTCAGCGTTAGAATAAGCGCCGTTCCCGAAAAAACAAACATTATAGAAATTATAGGGAATACAACGAGGACGATGTGTTTGCATTCCGGGGAGGAAAAAAATCACTCGTTTACTGTTAATGGAATCTTTTTAGGTTACTCTAAAGTTTATATTACTTTGTATCCTTTCGGTGGCGATTGTATCGACAACGCGACAACAAAAAATTATCAAAATAACAAAGATTGGTACGGAAAAGACGATGCGGTTGAAGTGGTTCCTACCACTATATATAAATATGATTATTTGGTGAGTGTTTCTCCTCGTCCTTCCCTCTTAGCTGACCTATTTACGGGACTTATGGCTTTAATTATATCAATTAATTACATAAATATGGGGTGTCAACTAGATTTAAAATCTATTTGGGAAGTGTTAAAGAAGCCGGTGGGACCAATTATAGGATTCTGTTGCCAGTTCATCTTCATGCCTTTGGTAAGTGATTTCCTAATTTTGCATTATTATTTCATTTAAAATTGAGGAAGTTATTGATCTAAATATTTCATTGATTTAAAATTATGGTCAAATTATTAACCAATTATTTTAAATCATTTAATAATTTGATGCTCTATTCGAACGAAATTATGGAATTTAAATAATTTAAAATTATCTATTGTTTAAAGCCATGATGATATATTTTACATTGACAATAATATCTTGACGCATTTGATAGATTAATTTATTTCAGTGATTTATTGCTAAATTGTCAAGGAGTTGCATGATATTTTTATATAATAAAATTAATAATTACAGGAAAAATCATCCCGTTCGTTAAAACTTTCCTATTGTTCTTTTTTCAGTTCAATTGTTTGAGCTATACTACTTCCCCTATTGACTGTTAAACATGAGCAGAACAGTTCAAATTAAATAATAATTTTTTCCTTTATCAGTTTACAATTTGAAAAAAATCAAGTTTTAAAAGTAAGCTTTAATTACATATTTTATGAAGTTAACTTTTATCCTGTATTAGGATATATACACTACTTAATTTCCTTATTTACATTATCTTAATTATGCTTTAAATTATATTTTAAAACAGTTTATACATTTTTATAATCGCTCAAAATACTGTTTTTTTTCAATAGAAAATGAAAAATTTAATCCACGTTTTACGAAAAAAACAGGAAATATTTTTAGATCAGAACGTAGTGAAAGTGTTTTTTTACTTCAGGAAAAATTAAAATAGGACTACGGTACCACCTTCGGAAGTTGTATTTATTGTTCCGTTCTTGTTTTGTGCAGGAGGAAAGTTAGACTTTTAAAGATTTATATTGTTCAAATAATTAAAATCGAAATGTGTCATTGCAATTAACAACATTGAGGAAAATTTCGATGTCCTAAATTGAAGCGATAAATAAATTGTAAATCGTCGATAATGATTAATTACGCCCAATATTAATACATTGTAGACATTTTACATCTTTATTTAGATGAATTATAATAAGTGCATCTGTATATTCTATAATTCTTCTAAGTCGATAAGCAAAATATAGTTGCGTTTCTAGCACAAGGACTTATTAAATAGAAAAATCTATATTTGTAATCCTTGAAACTTGTAATTCACTCGAATATATTATATTAAAAAAGAGACTAATGTACTGTACATCTTGTCCATAGGCATCTTACGGGATAGGATATTTATTATTTGAAGATACAAATCTTCGTCTTGGACTTTTTACACTTGGTTGTTCTCCGGGAGGAAGCATGAGCAATTTCTGGACACTTTTATTTAATGGAGATCTGAATTTAAGCGTTACCATGACTTTTATTAGTACGGTAGCAGCTCTAGGTAATTATATTTTTGCTTATAATAAAGATAATTAAAGTATTTAAAACGCTAATACTTATTCATCTCACATTGCAGGCCAACTTGCAAAAACTTGAATATTTGTTACATTTTTCAAGTTGAGCTCGGTATAAGTAGTGAGCATGAAAAAAGTAGTAGTCTACAATAGGAGAAATGTATTATAAAAATTCATATTTAAAATTATGTTTTGTTTTGCAGGTATGATGCCTCTATGGATATTTACATTAGGATCGAGTTTATTTAGAAACGGAAAAGTAACGTTACCATATCTGAATTTATTTGGTTCACTGGTTTTATTGACGTTACCCATTGGAATAGGGATGCTAATTCGGAAATATAAAACAAAATGGGCCAATTTTTCCGATAAAATAATACGCCCCTTTACCATTGTTTGCATCTTGTTAGGAATCGGAGTAGGTTGTTACGTTAGTCTTTATATTTTATTAATGTTTACATGGAAAATCGTTTTAGCAGGTTTGGCTGTCGCGTGGGGTGGTTATACTTTCGGTGCTCTAGCAGCTTGGATGAGTAGACTCGAACGAAGACAAATTATTGCTGTGGCAATAGAAACAGCGTTTCAAAATGGAGGAGTGGCATTCGTTTTATTACTTTTATCTCTACCTCAACCGGATGCTGCGTTAACGGCTGTACCAGTCGTAGCTCAGTTATTAGTAACTGGTTTACCCATGTGGTTTATATTACTTGTTACGAAGTTGGTTACTTGTTGTAGAAAATGTTCAGACAAAAATAACAACGTAGAAAAGAAACCCATCGAGGATAATGAAAATATTAAAACTCCCGAAAAACTTAGTATAGAAACAAAAATGTAGTTAGTAAAATAGAATTTAGTGACGGTTATTCCAGTTTTACCAATAGATCTAATGTTTAAACAGACGATGACTAATATTTATTCGTCACAGTTGTAGAAATTTAATCGGTGAAAGTTGAGATCTGTAATAATGCTACGACAGGAGTAAAGTTTTCGTAAAAGTGATTTTATGTAAAAATTTCGTAAGATAAGTATTTTTTATATTCAAAGAATTATAAAGCTACATCAAATCTTGTATATATAAAAAAAGGATTTTTACATATTTTTCGTATAAAGTAATATAATTTTATACTTTTACAAATATATAAAATATCTTTTTCAAGAAAAAAAAATAATAATAATTTCGTTTCGATAAACAAGCTGCACGCACCAACGAAATTCGAAATACAATTAATTCAAGGAATTGGTTAAAGTTTTGATTTTCAAATTATTGACATGTAGTTAAATGGCATCATTGGCTTCAAACATTATACATATACAAATGTACTGTACTGTACATGTTATACTGTGATATACATACATATACAGTATATGTATAGGTATAGTGTTTGTATTCATGTATTTATTTATATATGTATATACGTATTTCCTCACTTCCTCTGTGTCGTTTGTTTATTTTTGTCTTTCGAAACAAACGCTCGAGTCATATATCTTTCGATAAATTAAAAGAAATCAATAACAATTGTGCTGATTATCTTCGTTAGACAATTTGACTTCAAAGGATGTATGACGTAAACTATGACGTAAAATTTACGTAATCGAACACTTCTACAAGGTAATGCTTATTTGTGGGTAGTTTTCTTCATTATAACCATCTATAAACTGCCCATCTGCTATAATGAGTAATCATCCTTCGAACTCTAGTAATATTTTAACCTTAAATATGGCTTGAATTGAAAGCTAAAAAGGTTTTCTATTATTCGCATCAGATAATATTGAACACATTATTCAATAAACATAATTTTATGCACGAAAAAGCGTAGGAAATATGGTTCCATTTGATACAGAGTCAAGTAGAATTGAAGTAGGTTGGAAAAACTGGTTTTTTTAAAAAAAAACTTTAGCAGTTAACCTGTGTACGATTTTCTACTGAATTCTATTTTAAAACTTCGTGGATTGCGTTTGTTAACTATTTATATACGTACTGTTCAATCCTATATCAGAGTTTTCTCATTATTCTAAAACTAAGTGATTCAGTCAAAGTAAGAATTAGCTAAAGTTGTTTATTCTCTGAATTTCTAAGAAGCGACATTATATTTTTAAGTATTTTGATAACTAAAGTTACCTTGAAAGACTAGTTAATGAATTAAATTAACTGCTAACACGTAATAAATAAGTAATAGAATTAATTTTTTTTGATAAAAGGTTGAACTTAATGATGCTTTTAGAAGCTACATAATGTAATTTCGATTAGGAATTTTATTTATTAATGCAATTGGAAAAATTATTTTCTCAATTGTATTAATTTCTGTGTTAAATAATGATAATTTAATCAAATTCTGTTCAGAATTGTTGAACTGAACAGAANTATATTTTAGATTAAAAAAACTACTAATTAGGGAGATGATTTGGGATACTATAAAGTCACTCCTTACTTAACGGCCGCTTGGACTTACCAGCAGCTCTTCAGCTCAAGGCGGGGGGAGCTGGTCGTAAGCCCTGTCTTTGTCTTGTTCCCGCAGTCAGTCAGTATTCACCACACAAAACATTCGTAATCTCCAAGACTATGTATTTCGTTTATAAATTTATGCTATATTGTGCACCCCGTAACTCCAAACACACTGTAAATCAAGTATATGCGTTCTAAGTTCAAGCCAATATTTCACAGGAAAATTAGGAATAAATAGTCTACAAATGTAATTTGTATGTATTATCATTTCAAAATTAAAAACCAAAACAGAAAATACGAATTCTGAATGAAAAATGGAAGGCTATAAGAATACCAACAACGAATTTACCATTGAAAGGTATTAATATCCATTCTTCGACGGCCCGAATACAAATTTTCGACTGTATTTTATTTACGTTTCGAATTTCTGAAGGATGGACAGAGTTGGCTGAAAATACAGAGATAAATAGGCCGGAAGTATGCTTTATCTAATTGCATAATATAACTAATAAAGGAAAATAAAGTTTTTAAAATTACTGTTTTCTAGTTTCAATAACTTTCGTCGTTCTGCTTGGATTATACAAAGGTTTATTTTTATACAACAATCGAAATCAATTGAAATGTTAAAGAACGAGGAAAACTACAAGACGGTAAATTTATCAGCGATATCTGCATTTACAATTTTGGATATGATTTAACATTAAATATATTCTGTAGTAAAATATTCTACACTTATCTGATCATCCAATGGACATACAGGTGGAAATTGAGTATATTTCCTGTTTAAACAATCAAATCAATGTGGGTGTCAGATAAGTTACACCTGTTTTATTTGACAATCATTCAAACATAAAATTAAAAAAGTTATTTCTCATACATAATACTATATGGAGAAAACATCTTGATGATGCAGTCAATTGTGAAGCACAGATATCCGGTTTCTCAATAATTAAATGATGAAATGTAATGTAAAAAAATCCATAAAAGAAGTGGAAAATTATTATCATTTCTTCCGTTTAACAATCAAATCAATGTGGGTGTCAGATAAGTTACACCTGTTTTATTTGACAATCATTCAAACATAAAATTAAAAAAGTTATTTCTCATACATAATACTNGAAAATATTAAGATATAAAAGAAGGTTAAGTTGTTGATAAATGAAAAAAAGAGAAAAACTATTTTTATTTTATGTCATGCATTGAGAACATTCCTGAGAAGCTCATCAGTGACATAGTGGATAAAAGAACTGAACACGTGTAAATAACACGTGGATAAAACCCTGTAAATTTCACGTGTTGTAGCTAACCACGTGGAATTTACGGGATTTTATTCACGTGTTTAACAGCAGTTTCCCATGAAAATTCTTCGAAAACGACCTCTTTCCTTGGCAGATCGCCCAGTTTCGTTGCCTCATCCCATCAATCCAATCTGTTTCTAAATAGATTTGCGAGTAAAATAATTGATAAAATTATCTCTAGAGATTTTATTACTCTCTGTTTTAAAAATTACGACTAATAATACGTATAATAACTAGCTTATATAATATTTATGTTTTATGATATAAATATCTTATCATACAGGGAACAAATGCTTTATATTAGCCTAACATTGGTCATGTTTTAGAAGTTCATTTGAAATCAAATATTTTACTTCAAATATCTCTTATATTTAATTCAATATTAATCTTGACAAGGAATAAACTTAACAAACAAAAAATATATAAACAATTTAACATTGATTTATATATATATATATATTTTAATGAATTACCATGCCAATACACAAAGCCGCAAAACTTCACAAATGAGTCTCGATAAAAGATTAATTAAGAAAACATGGATATTGAATTAACATTATGTATAATGGCTGCCTTGCCCAGATAAATCAAAAACAATCAAGATAACTGAGCCTATAAAAATTAATTTAAATTTCATATAAATGTCTTCAACTAAATTTTCTCTTCACATGGTAAATTTGTATTGTTTAAGTTTCGAATGATATAGTTTTAATGCTAAGGAAGTTAGTAACAATATAGCTACAGGCGGTTTTGAAGAGGACGCAATTACTGGATACACAGTACGAATATCACTAGCAAAACTGATTCCATATATCGTATATCTATCTGCTGTAGTATTTGTAAATGACATACTGTGCAGCCGATATATAGGCTAGTATGCAGAATCCATTTCGCTAGTGTCTGTNTATATAAACAATTTAACATTGATTTATATATATATATATATTTTAATGAATTACCATGCCAATACACAAAGCCGCAAAACTTCACAAATGAGTCTCGATAAAAGATTAATTAAGAAAACATGGATATTGAATTAACATTATGTATAATGGCTGCCTTGCCCAGATAAATCAAGAACAATCAAGATAACTGAGCCTATAAAAATTAATTTAAATTTCATATAAATGTCTTCAACTAAATTTTCTCTTCACATGGTAAATTTGTATTGTTTAAGTTTCGAATGATATAGTTTTAATGCTAAGGAAGTTAGTAACAATATAACTACAGGCGGTTTTGAAGAGGACGCAATTACTGGATACACAGTACGAATATCACTAGCAAAACTGATTCCATATATCGTATATCTATCTGCTGTAGTATTTGTAAATGACATACTGTGCAGCCGATATATAGGCTAGTATGCAGAATCCATTTCGCTAGTGTCTGTAATACAGACATCTGTATTAACGAAATTAGTCTGCATTACTAGAAAAACACAGTAGCTGTCCTTGACATACTATGCTTTTCCACGTACAGCTGATATCTAATCTACATCAATCCAACAAAAGAAAGTTGTATTGCTTATCTAATGAAATATCAGTGATATGTTACTTTCAAATTTTTATTTCTGACCTTAATAATTATGCAATAAGCGTAATTGTTACTAGTATTAATATAGTTTGAAGACCGATCAGCATCAATGTCTACTTCTACAAATTTTCTTTCCAGCTTGACAGTCGACAGATGTGACTGGTCGCGCCTTTCGTTGACTCATTGTCGCCTTAATTTTGCCGCTGGTGTTTCTGGCACGATGTGATATTTTCTGCATGTGTCATTTGTGAGTGTTGCATCTTTGAGTATGTGTTTTCTGTAGTTTTTAGTATTTATGACCTGATCCTGTAGGACAATCATGAACCCTTCCATCTTCCCGAAAAGACATCCCCGAACCAACCAGCTGTTTGACGCAGTTTTGTCAACAAAATCCTAGGCCAGATCTTAGGGATGCCTGCCAAGGATTGTCTTTCGAACCCACGATTGCTTAATGGTGTCTTTGCTTTTTATATGTTGTGTCGTGTCCATATGTTGCGAATGTAAGTTTAATGGTTGTTATTTGAGTCTGCCAGAGTTACTGCTTTATGTAATTGTGATGTTTCTTGTTTATTGTAGAAAAACTCTCGCAGTATGGTGGATTTAGGATGATGTCGTTTATGCTTAGTAATTATTATTATTATTTTATTTATTTATTTTTTGCGTATGTTTCAATGGAGAGGGTTTAAATCTCTATAGCCTGTAACCCTCCTCTTGGATCCACAACTGGATCCAAGAGGAATTAGGTGTATTTGGGAACAAATGACGGAAACAATGATGAACCGGTGTCGTTTGCAGTCGGCATTCGATTAATTGCCGAAATAGGCCCGATGTTCTAAGTAAATTAAAGTGTCTTCACAATTCGTCCCCTTTCATACCACGCGATTGCATAATATAGTCTAAGGAGGGTCGATCCTTATCGATCTTCCTAAGACTATATTATCGATACTACGGTATCGATCTTTATTTCGGGGCTCTTATCGCATCAACGTCTAAAAGAAAACAAATTCAACAACAAAAAAGATTTGTTAGTGTTTCTTCTGAACTTGTGAATTTTAATTATAATTGTCGTCCTGGAGTTTTAATTAATAATAAGTGAAACTCTTATTTATTCTAGCTTTTATTTCGAACATGAAAACGTTTGAATGTTATAAGGTTGAGTGATTTTTTTAAAAAAATGTTTTATCTGTTTATTGTTATTTCGCTATCGTGTAGAAAAATAATAAACAATAACAAACATTACATAATAATCTTATAATTTATTTTTGTAAAAAAAAGAAGTTTTCAAAATTATTTATTTTTATTTATAGCGTGGCCATTAGAAAACTACATTATACGTTATAAAACGTTATAATTTTAGATAAAAATTTCTTATTATTTCTGTATTTAGTTGGTGAGAATCATTCTATTTTTCAAGAGTGACTTTATGCTGTTTATTTGCTCTGATATGAAATAGGAGAACACAATACTAATCAAAGTAAATATGACCTTATTATTTATAAAAACTTACATAAACATATTTTGAAATTCACTAAATAAATAATTGTTTAATTAACAAAAACAATTAATCAGGAAGTATATGAAAAAGTCTATAATTGATGTTTAATAATATAATTATGTAATTAATATATAAGTTAAAATAAAATAAAATTTATAATGAAAATTTACGTGCTGAAAAAATTTTTAAACCAGTTCAAACTATAAGGTATAGCGATGAATAAACATCATTAATTACGATTTTATTTATCTGTTACACTATTGCTCACTGGCCCGATGAAAAAGCTTGGCTTCTTTTTATTTCACAGATAGTTTATAGCCTAATAGTAGTTTTGTCTCGAGGCGCATTGTAAAATATAAAAACTTTTCCTGGTATATTTCGCGTAGAAAATTAAAAATATATGAATATATTTTAAATTATAAAAGCTGTGTGTTCTTTTTTTAAATCAAACTCATCGTAGGATCGACTAGATCCACAAGGGGCGGCCGGGTGATGAGGGATCCTATATACTCGGGAAGGACCACCTCCGAAA